AGACATCCCAAAGGGTTAGAACTCCAACCAACAATCCACCTGCATTCCAGAGATGCATAGCACTGGACAAACCTAATCGGAACAAGAAGAAACCTGACAGGTTTGGGTTTGACCAAGACGAAGTTAATTATGCTCTCAACATTAGTCAAGGAGATCCAACTACTTATCGAGAAGCTATAGCAAGTGATGAGCGAGATAGTTGGATAAGTGCTATGACAGAAGAAATGGAGTCTCTTTACAAGAACTCTGTTTGGGAGTTGGTTCCTAAGCCCAAAGACAGAAAGCTAGTTGGATGCAAGTGGGTATTTAGGAAAAAGGAAGGACTACATGAATAAGATGCCGTGAAATTCAAAGCAAGGCTCGTGGCTAAAGGGTACTCACAAAAGGAAGGGGTGGATTATGATGAGATCTTTTCACTCGTAGTTAAGCATACTTCTATCAGATTGCTTTTAGCAATGGCAACTCAGCATGACATGGAGATTGAGTAGATAGATGTGAAGACAACGTTTCTTCATGGGGATCTAGAGGAGACAATTTTCATGACTCAACCAGAAGGGTTTGTTGAATATGGGAAAGAAAACCTAGTATGTCAGCTAAAGAAGTCCTTGTATGGCCTGAAACAATCTCCAAGACAGTGGTACAAGAGGTTCGATTACTTCATGTTGAAAATCAATTTTAGAAGATGTTTATATGACTGTTGTGTGTACTATCATGTGTTCCAAGATGGGATGATCATATTGCTATTGCTATATGTGGATGACATGCTAATCGCTTGTCAAGACAAGTCTAGAATTCAAGACTTGAAGAAGATGTTGAGCAAGGAGTTTGACATGAAGGATCTAGGTGCAGCACAGAAGATCCTTGGCATGGAAATTCAGAGAGATAGGACCGCTGGAAGGATTTGGATATCACAAGCCAAGTATATTCAGAAGGTTCTTGAGAAGTTCAACATGCAAGAAGCAAAGGTAGTTTCGACTCCTTTGGCAGCTCACTTCAAGTTAAGTGGGCAACAGTGTCCTAAGTCCGAGGAAGAGCAGCAAGTAATGGAGAAGGTTCCTT